GGACAACATCTTAAAAGTTCTTCAAAGGCCCTGAGACTTTGTGTCTTCTTTTTTTAGTGTTGACAGTGTGATAATGAATGCAAAACTCATTAAAAACAAATTATTGTCAAAACTAGAAGAGTTGGTGTCCTCTCAAGTCTACTCAGTGTTAGAGCCTAAGTGACTCTCTCTGAATGTCACATGGATCAGGAATCATCATGTCATTGTCATGACTTCATCCAGATGTGTAGTACTTGTGAAAAGAGAACGAAGACTGTACTTACAGGACATGTGAAGGAGAACATCCTTGATGGATCTTTTCAAGGTAGTTCAACATGAGCTTGTGACACAATAGAAGATTTTTTTAGCAGAAATCTCTGGTTCAGCTTTTATTAGTAATACATGGTTATTTTAAATACAACTCAAATACACTATTTTGAACTTCTCCTGGATCCTTTTGAGGTCAGTGATACACGCTCCAATAAAGCTAGCGAAGCCCTTGCCCTATGGTTATGAGGAGAGGATTGGTGATTCTTAACTGGAGTGAGGTTACAGATAATGGTTGTCAGAGAATATGGTGGAGCAACTTACTGAGAAAGGGATTCAGAAAGTAATTTATTGTTAAGTCTGCTGAGAAATTAATTAAATTTAATCAAAGGGAAAAAAATCAGGGATCCAGACTGATGAAGTTATTACTCAAACCACAAAAATGGTCCCAGAACCATAACCTTAAAGGCAGGTGCAAAATGCGTAGTAAAAGTTTGTACATTCTTTGGTTGGCACTTCTTAAATCATATCTATTTGGATTTCATTTGATTAACACCTACCACTGTGGAGTCCTGAACTGTGGTGAGTCCTTCAAGTACTTTCCATGTTGGGAGGTTTGTTTGTGTGTTTTGTGTGTGTGTGTTGTTTTGGGTTTTTTTAAGAAAATAAATTCAAAATTACACACTTACCAAACCTACAAGAAAAGTAATTCTCCACTGATTTGGAAATTATCAACAAAATTAAAAGATATTTCCAGTGAACGAGAAAGGAATAGGATTTTGCTTATGAATAAAGGGAATTTTAATCCAATTGGTTTTTTACCAGTAGAATATGAAAGTCTCATAGACTGTATTGTCCCTTCACTTGCATCTGCGCATTTCCAAAAAAAAAAAATTTTTGTATGCATAACTTCCTTGATAATTTACAGGGGAATAATTTGGTGTACTGATAGAAATTAAATTTCTCTACAGAAGTCCATATTACATTGGGCAATATTCCCTTTCAGCATTAGTAGATAAGAGCAATTTAGCATATACATCTCTGAACTAAGAGTAAAGTTTCAGTTAGAAAATGTTTGTTTGTATGTGTCTATTTTAAAGGAGAATGGCCCCTTCTTTAAGGAATACAGCTGTAATACAGCTGACCAAGTACAGCCTGCAAAGGTTGCTTTACATCCAGCTTGAGCCAGGCTAAATGACAGGTACAAATCAATGCTTCTCCAGTCTGGTTTGAACTTTGTTTGCTAACAAAGGTTCCCTTTAAAGGAAAGCTCAGGAGGTGGAAATAATTTTCTGACTTCAAGTACAATGCCACCTGTTTTTGTTTTCTGTTGCTGGTGTTGTTGCTTTTTGGGGCACTAAGTGTATCAGTGTAGAGTCTGTGTGTGTTTCCTGTCCCTGTTCCTCCCTGGCAGGGCTATCCCCTGCACCCCCACCTGCCCAAAAAAAAGCTTTAAAAGAAAAAAAAAAGTCAAGAATTGGCAGAGGGAGGTATATACTGCTCTCCTGATAGTTTAGACATTACCTTTGTGTAGTATGAAATGTGTGAGAGCCTGCTTTCTGCTTAAATTGTAACCAGAGCTAACCCCCGCTGAAATGCTTTACAGAAGTGAAGCACAGCTGAGCATAAGAGCTGGATGCTGCCTGACATTTAGCACCAAACTGCAGCTCAACTGCTTTTAGACATATGAGTCCTTCCTCATACTGTGAAAATACACCATGCTGTTGCATACGCTGAGTTCTGAGGTCCTTAATACACAGTGGTATTCTTAAAACTTGGGGATTTGACATTGTGAGAAGCAGATATTGAGGGGATAAGGCTCTTGAAAACAAAAAGAAAATGAAGGAAAAAAAAAAAGATAGTTTTACTCATAAGAGATCTTTTGTTTTGTTTTTTCTTTCCCATTCTGTAGCACCTCCTGAGTCTGTGGCAGCAGGTTGCCTAAGAGGCTACCTCTAAAGCTGTACTGCCACCAGTTGCTGATGCTAGTGCATAAAGATGGACTGTTTTGGTAGGACAAGGCTCCATTGAAGGTACTGCTAATAAACTCTGTTCACTTCAGTCCCATTCAAAGCACAGGAAAAGGATCCATCTCTGCCAAACTTGAAAAGCTGAACCTATTAGAGGTTAAAAATTATTTATTTCAAGTGGGTGTAAAACAGATTTTTAAAATAAACACTGAAACCACACATGACTCTTACCACATATATTAATCATATTCTGTGTGGGCATGAAATACAGAAAGAGTTGAGCTTTGTATTCCTTCATTTTTATAAATGCAGGTTTGTTCCAACTAGCACTTAATATAAGCAATGTTTAAGTACCAGCTTCAATGTCGGATACAATGCACGTTCTCACTATGAAGTACTACTCCATTATAGCTTAGTTTACTCTTAGAAAAAGGATTTACCTCTGTTAATATCTCCCTAATGCTTAAAAAAAAAAACCAAACCCATGAAGTAGTTGTAGATGGGATTATTTTGACTATTTGGTTTCAAAGTGTTGTACCTATATTTCTCTAAGAAAACCTTATACCAATCCTAGTGCAATGGCTTTTTATATGTCTATAGCAAATTATTTTCTTAGTTTAGTGTGTTTGAGTGCTGTAGTGCTGCATTGATTGTCATCTGGTTTTTAAGTACAGCTTCGTGATATACAGGGTCATTCTTCCAAGAAGAGTCACCCCTGTGGTGCCATATGCCTGGTTTCAATTTTTAAATGCTGCTACAGGTGAATTAGTGTCCTACAGGTATAAAATGTGGACATTCCCCAGCATGCAGTTAGTGGAGTTTTGGGGGGTTTTTTTTTTTGTTCATACTAGTGAAAACATCCTTCTTCTGCACTTAGACTTGTCCATGTAAAAGCTTAAACTGTCCTTATCCTTCTTTGGATGTGGTTGAGCTCTGCTCACTTTTTAGAGCTGAAAATGAAATTTAAGGAAGTTCCTTCCTAAGAGTGGGGCCTGGGAGAGCTATCTCTCCATACTGCAGACAGATCTGCCTCCATCCTGACCTACCTGCACCCTGAGCGGAGGGGTGCTTGGGGCATCACGACAGGAATGGCATGCTGAGGTGTTCTCCACCATGCTCTGGTCTGAGACTGCTGCAACTATCCACACTCTGCTTTTCTTTATCGAACATATACCTAAGCTCTTTGCTCTCCATAGTTTTACCTACGTTGTTGAGAGAACAGAGGTAGCGCAAAAGGGATTTTTTTGAAATCAGTATGAAACTTGGGTTTGATACAATGGTATCTCTTCTAATCGTCTGGTTCCTGACTAAATTATCATTCAGTTAGAGCCCATATGGCTTAATTGCTGAGGCAGCAATGACAGCATTTTGTTGCTTTTCAGGGTTTTCCCATCCTTTAGCTTAAATACTTAATTAGTAGAGTCTTTGTGTCTTCTGGTATCACTATGCAACAGTGAGATCTGTGTCCAAATCTGAGGTGTTTCTATTTTATTTAGTGTATTGTTTGGCAAGTCCCTCTAATGGAGCATGCTAAAGAATAAGCAGTCTAGGGAAATCAAACTTGCCAACCTCAAAACACTAATTCCTGGAAAGACATGCTGGTTGCACCCATTTTTCTCTGCATGGAGTTATTCAGTGAGGAAGGAGTTGGGCTGGTGGTCAGCTCCACTTGTACAGTCGAAACTCACTCACTCAAGATTACTTGGGACAGACACATGTTTTGGCCTGAGTCCTTTCAGACTCTCAAGATCCAGCAGGGTTTATTGACTTGGGCTCACTGCTAAGCAAATGCAACTCTTGTGCGCCCAGACCAAGTAGGATCTCCTGTTTTGACCTGGAGTCCAAGCTGTTGAAACCTGCCAAGCGTGAAGGGTGCAGGTCTGGGTTGGGTTCAGTGTAGTTCTTGGATCCAGGAGCTCTGGAAACACATGGCGGATATCTGACCATATGGATCAGCTTGAGACCATCAGGGCTTATTAGATCAACAGCAGTTTCTGCCCTGTTAACCTCAAGCTTGTTTCTGTGCCTGGTTTTAGTTCTGTTTTTTGTTGTTTTTGTTTTGTTTTTTGTTTGGGGTTTTTTTGTTTTGTTGTTGTTTGGTTTTTGTTTGATTTTTTTTGTTCTTGGTTGGCGTGAGTTGGGAGTGTATGTTTTAAAACTGACTCTGAGCTGTGGGGAAATTTATTAGCTTTATCAGCCTCAGGCTCAGCTAAACATTTTTGCACTTGCAGTATGGCATGTAAGGAGCTTCCTGGAAGCAGACTGCAGAGGCACTGAGTGTGCTCAGCAGGAACCAGCTCATTGAATTAGAGCTGATAGACTCTGATCTTAAACCGACTTTTAATTCCTCTATGCTATGATTCCCAGCTCATTTTGCAGTGAAGCAGTATCCACTGTGTGCTTTCTCACAGCCTGTATGAACCATGATAATGGAGCTCTGACCATTACACCCAAAGTACAGAGGCCTGGATAGGCTCTGCCACTTAGGACTTGTGTTTTGGTTTTGTGGCATGTGTAGCCATGGTACGTACTAGTGAGACTGTATGTTTAATACCTGCAGATGTCATAAGGTTAATTAGCTTTTCTGTTTGGATTTGAAAATACTCTCTGGAAAAATTGCAGTGTGCTTGATGTAAGTCAAAATAATTTTAAGACAATATGCTTGATAGTCTGTGGACTGTTATAGTACTTGAAATTATTTTTGCTCACAGAATTCATGAATACTTGCTTAACTTTTCCAGGCAAAAGGTCATACAGCTCTTATGGGTTTTCTTTCATATACAGGTGCAGCTGGGACAAGCGGATATAAAATGCCCTATCACAGAGTGCAGCGAACACCTGGATGAAACAACTGTCCTCTATAACCTGCCCCATGACGACATCATCAAGTATAAATATTTCCTGGAACTCAGCCGCATTGACTCCAGCACCAAGCCATGTCCTCAGTGCAAGCACTTTACAACCTTCCGGAGGAGAGGCCACATTCCTACCCCTGCCAAATTGGAGAACAAATATAAAGTGAGCATGCTTTCCAGGGCTGTGGGTTAGATGGCACTGCAAAAGTAGTACAGCATTTGGTGGGCATTAAATGAGCTTTTTTTGCTTCACTGGAGCTGTGTGCAAGCTGTGATTAGGAATATGAATCTGTAGTACGTTGTTGATTAACTACTTACTTGACTTCAAACAGTTCAAGTACTTAAACTTCAGCCCTTCTTTTTTTTTTTGTCAGGGGGTATAGTTTTGTCCTGACAAACATTTTAATTTAAAGAGTGTTTTCTATCTGATGTGCGAACAAAATGGTCACAATCTGAAGAGACTGAGGAAAGGGAACTTATCACTATAACTGATAATTCTAGACACATGTCTCTTTAAGTTTTCCCTGAAACTCTGGATAAATGAAGTCTGGTCATTTAGGGTGTTAGGCTGTTTGCTTTCCTCCTTCCTTAGTAATAGAACTGTTGTCTGTCCTGCTTCTTGGTTTTGATTTCTTCACTCCCTTAGCAGAGGGAGTTACTGTAGCCTCATCGCTCATAATGCAACAACTTGAGAAAAAGGAGGGAATGAAACACTTCTACAGCATTTCTTTCCATAGAAGATTTGCTTATACTGTGATTTAAATCAAAGATAAAAAGCAAAAGTTTAGAAGAAACTTTGAGCTGCAGAAGGTCCATCTAAGTTCCAGAAGATGACGTTTCTGTCTGCAGCATCATGTTCTGTATTAGTTTTCCATCCGGTTATGAGATTTGATGTGGTTAATTTCATGATTGAACTGGCCTTTCCTGGACAAACCAGTTCTCCTCAGTAGGAGTTTAGATGACTGTTTAGATAGCTCTAATTACACAGCTTAAGATTCAGACCAATATGTGTATTCATTGGAGTTGAAAAGTTGGTAAAGCTAATTCTGAGTTATGAGCTATTTATGTATATCTGTGCAAGGCATGAATTATGTGCCACAATCACAATGTCTGTTGGATACAATGTTTTTAGATTTTTGGTGTCTTACGTTGAGGTGGAAAAATTTGAAACTGCAGGTAAAATTCCTTCTGCTCACAACCCTTCTTCACCCATCTGTTTTCATCATGACCACACATGAGATGTAGTCCAGGGTAGGTCAGAGCAGGTAAGGCTTCTGCAGCCACCTCCCTTAAGGTGTCAGGATCTGTTACTGTCCCACAAGTGTGGGTCATAGGTGGTGCAGCTGTTGTATCATGGGCATGCCAGATCTGAGGACATTCCTCAGGGCCTAACCAGTGCTCTTTTATGAGTCAAAATGCTACAGTTAAAATGTTCCTACAACTCCCCTACGAACCACAGTCAGAAGGAATTGGGTGACTTTGTGATGCATAGTACAAGCCAGCAGCAGTTCACTGGTCCTGCGGTGATTCATTATGTGTAGCTCTGATCTGCAGAGCTTAAGTCTCCTGGGAACAGACTCTGGCAAAACATGTCCTTTGAGCTGAGCCCAGGTGTTTTGTGCAAGAATGTCCAGTTGATACTAGTCAGAAATATAATTAGGAAAGTGCTGGCAACCGTATAGATGATTGTGGTCCACAGGGCATCAACCTACTCTCTGAACATTTAATGTTTTCTGGTATACATACAGTTTTAGTGATTTATTTTAAGCTTAGCACAAAGAGAGATTTTGCTGCAGGGAGAAGGTTTAAAAGGAAGGCTATATATGAGATTGAGTATACGTGAGTAACTACATACACACATAGCTGTGGACCAATATTATCTTGGTTTCCTTAGGTTCTCATGTGACTACTTGTGTGCATCCTCTCTGTGTCCTGAATGACAGGCTCTTCGGAGGTAAAGACTCATTTTCTTTTGCATATGGTGTTAGGAGACGTCTGACTGGAGGCTTGTGAGGCTCACATATTCACGTGCAAGCAGTGTAAACAGCAATTGCGTCAGATGAATTCAACACCAGCACTGGAAGTACTGACTTCAAGAGAACTGAGTCATGTGGGGAACATCTATGCATAAGCCTACTAGTAGAATCACAGCACTTGAGGGCTCAGTGCCATTACACTCGCTCTCTTAAACACTGAAACAGGAAAGCACTCTAAAATCCAAGAGTTGCTTGAACAGATACTTAAAAAATGTTATTAATGCCATTTCTAAAATTTGGTACAGTATTTAAAAATGACAAATAACATCAAAATTTAAAGAGGCAGCAAAGTAGCAAAGTTATAAATTAATTTTCCTTATTATAGCTGGATTATGTCAGCTGAATTGATCTAGGCTCTGCAGTTCAATTGGCTGAGATTTAAGCCTTTGTATGCTAAACCTAGAAAGTGAGTATGTTGAGGGAGAAGGAGGGAAAGAAAAGGGGAACTTGCTATCCAAACCTTTCTTGTACCATTAATGCCGCTTAGGACAGCAGTACAGCAGTGGGACCACTGAATTTCCTGTATCAAATATTTGTATCATAAATGGATCCAGCTTTAAGTAAGGAAATATCCCTGTCCCCTCTTATATGACCTAAATCGGGAATGTAAGACTTGATTGTAGACAAGACCCTAATAAAGGTTTGATCAAAGCTATTATGCGAAAGTGCAAAGGAAATAGGCAAAAATTGGAATATTGCTAATTGTGTGGAACAGATAAGGGTTTCACAAGAGTAAGATGACTTGTTCTGCATAGGGTTTGGGGCTTCCCCCCCCCCCCAAGCTGTGGCTTTCAACTGTTGTTTTAATGTTAGTTCTTTGACCTGGCACCTGCCATGGAGAAGCAAAACTTGATTCTTGGATTCTTATCTCTGCCTTATCATTCTGTAGGTTCATATTGAAGTTTTCTTGTTCACTTCTGTCAAGGAGATACACATCACATAAAAGGAGGACTTGAGTGCGTGGCTTTGCAAGTGCAAATGTTTTTTTCAGTGCAGTTGTTAGATAAGCTGTCTTTTGTTTTAACGACTGAAGAGTTTCTGAAACTTGCTGCTCTTGAACTAGTGGGAGTCTGTACCAGCAGAGATGCTGTGATAGAGCTGATCTGCGTTATTCATACTGAGTAGTTCCTCACTTTTTGGGTCAGATTTTACCCTAAGCTGTAAATATCTTCATGGCTGTATGTCACTTCAGCCTACCTTGAGGCTGAACTGCTGCAGATATGGTGATTTTGCCATGCTCTCCATCTTTTCTCTGAGCTGTTCTTTCCTACCAGCCTGCTTTTGCTCATGTTGATGTTTTGGTATCACACTGGGAACTGGATCAAAGATCAGCCCTGGTGGGACACAACATTTGTTTGTTTTGTTGTTGCTTCATTTTCAGCTACTACAAGAAAGAGGTTGGGTTGGTGATGAGGAGAAGGAAGCTGTTTGGGCTGAAGCCCATATTTATTTTCAAATAAAGTGACAATAGGTATAGCTAGAGACTGTAATTCATGTGATCAGTTAGTTGCATAATTAATTTGGCCATCCTATTATATAGCTAGTGTTCCATCACCAGCAGAAAATCCCACTAAGCTTTTAGCACTTTGAGTTTGTCAGAATATTTTTCCTGTGCTGTCAGTTTTGCTATCATCATGTCACGTTGAGCAGTGTTTTGTGTTGAAATTATTTATCAATTTTGAAAGGTCTTTTCCTGAGAAGTGGGGAAACTGATAAATAAAATAGTTTTCAGTAAAAAGACTAGCTAAGAATATGAAAAATGTTAGCCTCTAAGGTCAGTGTTTCAGAAAGCTGAGAACAAAGAGTTATGTAATCCTTTCTATTTCAATGGAGACTGACCTCTAGTATAGATTGACTTCCATGCATAGAGGTTTGTGTATATATCCATCCTCTCAATTGTAATCTGTGGAAACGGAAATCATAAAGTAAATCGACAAATGTTTGTGTGAAGAAAAACATATTTGAAAAACACTAGGTTAATGTTTTGGGCTTTTGAAGATATAGTTTCTCTGCTTTGCTGGACTATGTTTTACTGGTTTAAATTAAATGTAGATAGCATTTCTGCGTCCTTATTACAATGGTTTCATGCACTAATACTGAAGCATAAAGCAAATCATATTTGACTTTCAGAACAGCAGAGAAAGAGTGGAATAAGAATATGAAACACTGCAGTATTTGCCATTTTGTGTTTCTGTTTCTTAAGCATGCTGGTATCGCACTGCATCCAAGTTTGAATGGGTTTAGGAGTTTGTTTTGCGATCACTAGTTCCAAGAAAAATAAGTTTCATTAAGTACTTAAACACATGGTTTTCTTTTCCTGCTTAGAGTATGCTCAGCATTGAAGCATGGAGAGGTGAAGTGGCCCGTTCAAAATATAAAAACTATTTACTAGTTCAGTTTTGAGGAAGGTGTTATCAGGGTGGCAGGTGGAAGAGGAAACTGGTAGTGAAACAGTTCTCACTAGTTCAGTTAGTTAGGGCCATTTGTGGTAACAAATGTTATTTCAAGTTCATGTGGTTATAGCCCTCATCCTGTATTTCAGTACTTTCTAATTAATGTATTTGGAAACAGGTGATGTCAGTATGTGTGTGTGTGTTTAAATATATATCCTGGTGGCTGCTCTATTACTGTCACTTATGTAAATGCTATAATAGAAAGATAGAACCTACAATTCATTTGTGTCAGATTTTCACCAAAAACCAAACCAAAACTGAACACATGAAACTTGTGTTTTAAATTGAGTTGACATTTTTTTTAAGAAAGAAGATTTAACTTGCAATTTTTCTACCTGTTGATTTATGTTTGTATTCTTTTTACATATGTGTTCTGTCTCAAATGTCTGAATACTACAACTATTCTTCAGTCTTCAGCAGGCTGTAGAACACTTGTTTGTGGCTACAAGCTCCATCTTTGGCTGACCCATAACAAATACTGAGCAATAGAAAGTGATGCTTGCTGTAATCTGTCCTCCCACCAGTAGGTCACTGTGACGTGCATTGTTGAAAAACATGAATTCAAAGCAGGTGGGTGGGGGAGGACGGGAGGAAGGAAAAAGGATATGGAGATACTGGTCAGGATTTGGTTAGATGACTGTCTTGTGCATACTGATTTTTAAAGTATCGTGAAAACATTGATCAGTCCTCTATGGTAGTTTGGTTAGTAGCAATATATATGTTATTCTTTAAGTTCTTCAGAGTGGGAAATTTCCTTTCTCGTTAAACTACTTTTATTAGAATAATTCATCTGAGAAGCAGAGATGCAGGATAATGTATTTCCTTTGATTTAGCATCTGGGCCACTGCTTCAGCAAATTTGAGAAAGGGCACCAGTTATATTTTGTATTGCCTTTTTATTTTTTTTTTATTTTACTTTATCATGGCCTTAGACAAGATTTCTTGTAAAAAAGAATCATGTTTGTAATTCACATGTTTCCATTTTAATGTGTGGTTTCCCTTTAAACAAGTTTCATTTGCTGTTCTTTCCTGGTTTTGTGCAGTGCCTACCTGTGTCTTCCATAACTTAATTGGTAGGAGGCATGTGATATGTGCAGTTTTCTTCTGTAGTTATTTTCTGAGGTATCTTAGTGTGTGCTGTACAAAAATGTAATCTTTTAGCTATAGAAAGCAGTGTCATACTTGTAATGGTTACAGGATATCAGAATTTAATATTGCACTTACATACATATCCTTCTTGATATGAAGGAAATGTATGTATTGTAATACTTAAATGCACATACGATATTTTTTTCTTTACAAAGATAATGACCAGTAGGTGGTAACAGGCTAGAATGTTATGTGTTGTAATGAGAACAAAGTCTCTCAATTTCTTGATGTTTCACTTCTGTGCGCTTCAGCCATATGCCCAGCAAAGGATCATGAACGGGGACATGCTGTCTTAAGGGTAGTGAGAAAATTTTCTTGACCCTTAATTCCTGTTGTTGCACTTGCTGATCCGTAGATATGGATTGGCGTGGAGGTAAGCTGAAGTGATGCATTGAGCAGCACATTGCACAGACCCTTATTAAAAGTATAATATGTGGTTAAACAGGTAAAGATGTGCTGGTTTAAAAGTAATTGGGTGGGAGAAATGAACCCAACTCTAGAGAGATTGTAAGTTGGAGTTACAGTTTACTAAAAATAAATTACAATAGATGCAACGATACAGAAAAAAACTGGTTTTAACCCACAAAAACCAGATGTATAGCCCAGTCCCTTGGAACAAGAACAGAACAGTGTTCATTGGCCCCTGTTCTGAGCACCACATGGCCCCCCTGGGTACAAAGTAAAAGGAAAGGAAAACCTGTTGGTACGGGTGATGGCGGCAGTTCTGTTGAAGTAATGATCGCAGTCCTGTTGAGAGTGGCTGTCACAGTCCTGTTGGGGTTCTGGTCCTCCTCTGAATCTGAGGAGTGGTACCAGAAGGCCCAAAACCCCAAGATGAGATGTGCTCAGGTTCAGGTGGGGATGTCCAGTATCTCCCCCAGGGCCGGGAGTTTCCCAATGGGTCATTTAACTCTGTGATTCTTGTGATGTCTTTGGAGTGTATGGATGGTCTAGGTGTTGCAGCTGCCTATTATGCCAGTCCAGTATGGCCCATTAGCAGAGATGACCCCTCAGACTGGGTGTGAGGGTGCTAATTGCTCCCCAGAGTGGGGGGAGCTATCACAGCTGAGTCCTTAGGTGTGCCCTGGACAGCTGCTGCAAATGATCCATTATCAATAACCCATCAGAAATTACATAGAGGACGTAGAATACACAGTTTTGGTTATACCCACATAGTAATAAACTGGTCTTGGTCCCTGTAACTAGGACAGCATCGGACCATACAAACCAAGCTATGACTGTTAGACACTGATGCAGTGGAAAAAACAAAATTGCTCTTTACTGGTGAAGTTAGACAACCACTGAGAAATAGGTTAACTAGGGTCATAGAAATGCTCAGGTTGAGCGGTTGTGTCAATTAGGTTTGTAATGTGAAACATTAAAGGGAAAAATCTAAATGCTCTCTCTGTGGATAGAACTTGGGGAATAGCATTAAGGGTACTAGACAGCTTCATTTCTTGGTCATGCATCAGAGATCAGATCATCTTTGTATTAGCATGCCAGTAGTGATAGATGTAGTGATTGCACATATAAATAGTTTAGGCTGCTCCCCAGCAAAATATATAAGGGAGATCAGAGCACCTTCTTCGGACTCTTAACTGTAGTTGAGGAGGCACACCACCAGTTAGCATGGCTGAACAGAGGGCACAGCAACTACTGGGAGTGAGAACTTCAGGAATGCATTTTGGGGGCTTCACATGTGACTACGCTCCAGGATGCAGTTTCCTGAGCAGCACCCCCACACCGTGCATCGCCAGCACAGACATGTCCATGGTTTGGTGGTAAACACAGATAGAACCTTTTTTTGACTGGCTCAATTGCATCCATCAGCTGGTACAGAGCCAGACATGGACTGCAACTGGAGATGGTGCACAGGGCTCAGCAGTTGTTTGAGAGGTGTGCTTTCCCATCTTTCAGGCTAAGACATTTTTCAGCCAAACACAACAGAATTGAACATGTTGCAAAAGCCTGGATGTGTCTGTGTCTAATGTGGCTTCTAGTTCTTTCTTTCTGTAGTCATTATCCAGGTAGGAGGCCTGTCTTTCATCAGATAAGAATGTGCCTCTATTTATTACTTGGCAAATACAGCAACTGCCATAGCTTTTCAAAGAAAAAATGGGCAGGCTCTGGAAGAAGACATGATGACGATGGTACCTGTTTGACACAATGATTTAAAACCGAGGGAGTGGAAAGAATAGATCCTTTCTCAATTTGAATATGGCTTGTGGTTTTTGCTGTTAGGTGTGGTCTGTAGCAAGCAGGCTGTTTGTCACGGCCTCAGCTTGCCTTTATGCAGTGAAGAGCAAAAGGAGGTGCCTGACTTCCTCTTGGTAGTGCTGACTCTTGGATGAGAACTTTGCTCATGGCCACTGTTTCCAGGACCATTTCTAATATAGCTTCTTAACTTGTTCTGGGTTCTGCAGAGCCCCCTCAGAAGACCAAATACTCTCTGGTAATAGCCTTGGCGGTGAAGTTTATTACTAGAAGACAACAGATCCACTGCAGTGAAAACTGTCTACTGATTTTTAGATGATCTCACAAATATATTGGAAGAAACTGAACAAGCTTCCTGGATTTTGCCTTTTGTCAGTTGAGCCACACAATATATTTGGGAAGCAGTTCCTATGGTTGAACCAAGCTACTTGTGTTTTGTTTGATTGAGGCCTTTCCTGACTTTAGCAATTGCTTCTGTATTTTCTCTCTTTTTTTAAAAATAAAAAGACCAAGTTAGCTTCCATGGCTTCTTGTGTTTTTAAAACAGACCCTTCCAAAGATGCTAGACCTTTGCTGAGCAGCTACTCTCTTAATTGAAGAGCAGGAGTTTTAAAACAGGCTTTCTAGTTGAATCAGCGCCCAGCTTGTAAACATGTGGTGTTTTCTCATTTGTACAGATCCAGTGTCCATCTTGCCAATTTGTTTGGTGTTTCAAGTGCCACTCTCCCTGGCATGAAGGCGTTAACTGCAAAGAATACAAGAAGGGAGACAAGCTGTTACGTCACTGGGCCAACGAAATTGAACACGGGCAGAGGAATGCCCAGAAGTGTCCAAAATGCAAGGTGAGCTGCTCTCCCTTGGCTTGCAGGTAGTGGCTTCAAATTGTTCAAATATACATTTAAAAGAAATATTTGTAGCTTCTGCTCAGCACTGAAAATGAAATTCACACTTGCTGCACAGTTTCTTTTCAATGATCTCTTGAGAAAAACAGGTCAGATGTTTTAGTTTCTGGTTCCTGCACTGATTCTGCAGAATATCTGCATGTAAAAGCAACATTATGAAAATTCTAAGAGGGGACTTTGATGTATGCTTAGAATTACAGAATCATAGAATGGTTTGAGTTAATGAATGTGTTAAAAATTAAATCATTCATAAAATAAAGCTTTAAAGAAATGGGAAGCTGTAGAGAAATATGCCCTTTGTCATGTTTTCTAGAGAGTTTGGGTGAATTCAATTTCACAAGGCAGGAAGTACTCTGTCAGAGAGTTAACTTAAGGGAGACTTTAAGATTTTGTAAAATTGTGAGGTTTTTTGGATTAAATGTCAGTTCTTCACAAGTCACATCTCAAGGTGTGACTTCACAGGCCGTACCTCGAATACTGTGTCTGGTTCTCGACCCCTCACTTCAAAAAAGACACTGAGGTGCTGGAGCGAGTCCAGAGAGAGGCAATGAACCGGTGAAGGGTCCAGTGGGTAAATCCTGTGAGGCGTGGCTGAGGGAGCTGGGGTTGTTCAGCCTGGAGAAGAGGAGGCTCAGGGGAGACCTCATCACTATCTATAACTATCTGAAAGGAGGTTGTAGCAAAGTGGAGATTGGTCACTTCTCTAGGGCAGCCAGCAACAGGACAAAAGGACATAGCCTCAAGCTGCTCCAGAGGAGGTTCAGGCTGGACATCAGGAGGAATTTCTTCACTGAAAGAGTTGTCAAACATTGGAACAAGCTGCCCAGGGAGGTGGTGGAGTCACCATCCCAGGAGGTGTTCAGGAAACAACTGAACATGGCACTTCATGCCATGGTCTAGTTGCCAAGGTTATGATCAAATGTTAGACTTGATGATCTCGGAGGTCTTTTCCAACCTAGATGATTCTGTGAAGTGTTTCTCATTAATTTAGTTTTCAACGCTGAAGTGCAGTCCCACACCCTAAAAATGTCATTAATCTCTTCTGGGATAGGAAATACTTCCTGCTACTCAAATGAGATTCAACAGCCAGTTATCCTTAATGAAGGCAGCTGTTACCTGTGTTTACTTTTTTTTTTCATAACACCTATCTCCAACTTCTGAGGGAGTAGTAAGTTAAAATTTGGAGCATCATGGTGGTGGGAGACTGTCTTTTTTTTTTTTTTTTTTTTGAAAGGGAATAGTTTGAAATTTTCTATTGCTCTAAATCTGCATAGACAAGACAAAGTAAGGAAACTAAAACGTTTGGTAGAAAATAAATATTGAAAGAGATTTACTTGTAAATATGCAAACTATGTCACACTTTGAGCCTTATACTGTGCAAATAAGAAAATGAAATGTTCATCAGTGTAGTAAGTATCTCATTTTGATCTTTGGGAAAAAAATGCCTGTGGTGCCATAGCTCAAAATCGAAAGATTTCGAAATACTAAGCAAAATTGGAAAGCTCTGAAATCAGCAGCTAGTTGTTTACCCTCCGTCGTGCACATGTGACATTTTAACAGAGTTTTTACAGCTTGGTCTTTGGTAAGAGTTGATAGGTTTGAGTGAGTTCTAAAAATGTTCAGTTTCTGGGAAGTCATAAAGTAAAATACTTTGTTTCTTTTGGAGTGGGACGTGTGTTTTGGTTTTAATTTTTGACTTGTGTCCAGATTCAGATTTTGTGACAATGCAAATGATGTAACTATTGTAATAATTGTCCAAAAACAGAAGAAAGTGAATCAAGCAAGAAAGTATGATTGTGGAAAAACAAGGGGAAGAAGGCTGCTAGCTGGAAAGAGAAAGGAACTAAAACTGCTAACTAAAACATATTCAGCCTGAATGAGTAATAAATGTAAAATGCCACATTTAAATGTACAACCCTTTTCACCATCTTCAAAAAAAAAAAAGGGGGGGCTGGACATTTGAAACTTTTGTGGCTTGTCACTAATTGTGAAGCATGAAATTGCATGAGTTAGGCTGCTAATATCATAAATACTTTAGGTTTCTTCTCATAATCAAAGGAAAATAAAACCTCCTACATGGTGGGAGGCAGTATGGAAAGTTATGAAGCTTGCACAGAAAAAAACCTCTGTCAAGTCCTTTCTGATGATGTGTATGATAAGTGAAGTATTGAAGAGGGAATTCAACCTTGTTATAAACTATGTTGCTACCCTCACTCCTGATACTTTTTTCTTTAGAGATGAAAAATATTCTTCCTGCCTACAATCTCCAAAATGTTTCTATCAATTCATGTTTATTTTTAAGCCAAATCTATAATTAGCAAGTAATCAAAGGACCACTTAGTCAGTGGTTAGTGGTACTGTTGTTCTTTTTTTTTTTTTTTTTTTTTTTTCAATGGTTATTGAGTAATTAAAAAAATACATCTTGAGCAGCACCCTTCATCAAGCCTTTAGTAGATGTCTGGGCACATGGGGATAAGCATTCCAACAGTTAACAATTTGGAGTTAGGGGATTATACCTAACAGTTCTTTGCCTTTCTCTCTCCACCCATCCTGCTAAAACCTCTGTATAAAATAACATGGAATCAAATGACAATCATATTTCCAAATAAAATAAAGACTGATAGAGAAAATACAGTTGATAACATACTCTTTAAGTTATTCTTGTTCTAGATCCACATAATCAATGTTTTGAGGTGACAGCATATTTTATTTTTAACCTCTTTCATGTGTTGCTTAAAAATTTGCAGCAGCTGAAGTTTACAGATTGAGGAAAAGTCAAGATAAAGTTTGTCTGAAGATATTAGTATTCAATTTTTACATTAAAACTGAAATTACCAAAAAATTGAGGTAGAAACTTCAGTAGAGGTAGAATTTCTTTGCTTAGGTAATTTGTACAATTACTGTTCGCTTTGAAGTGTAATACTGATTACAGAGTAAACTGTGACCATATTTTACAGATATCTTCTGGAGATAATTATTTATACACACCACATAGATACATACACACACAGACTCTTTAAGTAGCTGTGCCACAGAGAATTCGAATGCACTATTATTATCTTGTCTGGGCATGCAGGTGAGAAAATGGGAACACACTTATGGGGGGTGAATGTATAGGCAGATCTTCAGGCAAGTATTCACAAGTTTTTCAGTGGTTTTGGTAAGCGCTTTGAAAGAACATAATCCTTTGTAACGTGAATATAGTGGGGACTGTTGAATCAGCTTAAACTTCATTGCTTTTTCCTGTAGCTGGATACAGCTTTAGTGAGTCTAATAGGAATAGCTTATATTTACCTAGTCTCTCTAAGGTGTGTTTATATAAGATAATAATGTTAAACACTGTCCAACTGTGTAATTGTAGATCCATGTTGTGACTGTATGTCAGTATGGAAATATGTTACTTCTTTTTTAACTGTATCCTAATTTTTATATATTTTTTGTTTTTAATAGAGCCTTTTCCAAATTTACTATATGCTATTTTGAGCAAGTCAGCACAGACAATTTTTCTCAACAAGACTTGTCCAAAAAGTGGTGGTCCTGTTCTAGAGAGAGCTAGCTAATGCATACAAACTTGCTCCATGTTTTTGGATGCCATTTAACAAAATCTATAACCTTATTTGTCTTTCCCCAGTGCTGTTTTAGGGGGTTATTTTTTACAATTTCTTGCTCTGTGTTTACAGCAAAATGCCTTTGTTTCCACAAGTGTTTTTACAGTACAGCAAACCAAGAACGTACTTCATGTTGGTGTTATCTTACCACAGGTTTCAAAAACAACACTGTCTGAGGAAACACCACACAAGAGCTTTAGTTTAGAAAGCTTTAAACAGCAACAGAAGTTTTAAGTAAACAAGGATGTCAATGCAAATAAAGGAGTGTGTACTTCTTATCTGTGGCTTATCTGTTCTGATTAATATAAGCGTTATCAAATACTCAGGGCATAGATTTTGAAGGTGCTCTGCAAATTAATTCACATCCTCTGGAAGGAGGAGTCCTTCTTTGTATACAAAGGGATAAAGCTGTTCAGGTTCTCTTCAGGAGTGGAGGAGAAATGGCCATTCTCACCCTCAGAACTTTTGGCAGTGATTTCCCTAGAAGATTTCTGTGAGAGGACTTGTAACGTGCAGAGGAGGTAAAGTGAAGGTCTGAAATAGCCATTGTGCTACTTCAGTTGTTTCCTGAAGACTCTGAGCTAGGTGTGTTTGCCTTTGATGTGTAATTTGTACCCCTCTTGTTCTGGGAGTCGTTCTTGGATTTCTGAATGCCTAAACCTTTCCCTGTAAGGTGAGGGTCCATCTTTGGTTTTGAACAGGTATTAAGTGTAGGATGAAGCCTGTTGTGTTGACTGAATGTTTGGGGGCAGAAACTGTGCTTGCAGTTATCCTGCTCTCACCTTGCCTCCTCTACTCTCATGGTGCTGCTGGGGACCCTGCAGTTACGAGGCTCTGGTCCCCACACAGCTGCAGCTAACTATAGCAAGCTGCATTCCTGGCCCCATGCATTCCCCTGGCTGCCTGTTGCATTCCGTGGTATTGCCAGTGGAGCAGGAACAGTCATGTGATATCTGATCCATCAGCTATCGCTTTCTCAACTTATAGATTTGTAATCCATCTCTGTCAGTGGATTATCTGGAGGGCAGGGAGGCATGTCCATGTGAAGCAGAGCTGAAGTTGATCTGGTGAGATACTTGAAAGCAGCCTGACCAAATCACACAAAGTTCATCTGGCATTGTCAGTTTGCGTGCATGTGACAGGGAGTTCCAGCCCTGCGTATAAGGTTTGGTTGTGGGGTTTTTTTAACTTCATTTTTTAAATAAAGTCTCTCCTCATTGTAAAAAGGAAACTTTTTCAACAAAAAAAAAAAAGGGGGGGGAAGTACAACCAGTTGTTCCAGATTTGCAGCTTTCGTAGTTAGACATGTGCAGATAAGTATTCACTAAATGGTTTACTTTTTGAGATACATGTAATTGCAGTATGTGTCTGTAATAAAATAAATCCCATAAAAGAAGTATCAACTTCCTTTATGTTTAAAGAGGACAGTATGTCTGGAGGACTTAGAGTAGAAACACTTAGATTGTCAAATGATTCAGCAGTGGTGCCTGGCTAACTGGAGCTGAGTTGCATCTAGGAAAGCAGGGGTAGGCAGTGGGCAGGCAGTTTCTAAAAGGTGAATATTTATGAAAGGTATGAATAGTAGAATGTATAAAGCTATTTCCAGCATCTCCTTGAAGTTCTTACTTCAAAAAAGTTAATTTATTTTTGAAACGTGAAGTAGTTTTGGTTTGCATCTAGGGTTTTTATAGGTTCCAGGCTCATACAGACTTTCAGTTAGGATGGATGGTAACTTAATTGGGCTGGTAAATTAGAGAAGAGAAAGGAAAATTCAACGGTCTTGATTCAAAAAGAAAATAAAACAACCAGTAAATTCTCATTAGTGTCATAAGATCTAGTTCCCTCATTTACATTTTTAAGATGGATTCAGCAGATAAGCAAAGTTACTTCTAAAATTGCAAAAGTCCATATAGTTGCTCTCTGAATTTCAGTCCCCATAAAAACTAACTGGAATTAAAATTTAATTTGTTAAAATACATTAAATCACTGTTAAAATTCCTTCATTTCAGTTCAAGTTAATCTTAGGAATTACATTAAACTGTGGCTCCATGAGCAAGGTCAACATTTTTTCACATGTAACCTGAAAAGTAAAAACAAAAGTCAAACTGACAATAATGTCCCTTCTAGAAGAAAATAGTGAATAACTTTATAAGCTATGCTTAAGTTGGCACAGTATTGAGTAAGTTTCTTTTTCTACTTTGCTTGCAGTCAGTGCTTAAATGTGAAAGTTTTAAAATCAAGTGGCTTATAAAGCTTATCAGCAATGATGTTTTTTCAGGTGCTTCAGGAAAACAGGGCAGCTGTGATGCAGCAGGCTTTCTCGGGGTAGAAAGGGCTGCTTGGTCATAAGGGATGCCATTTGCATCCCTTCTCTGGGACAGATGTAAGTCCACTAGAATACTTGCTCACTAGAAAGTATTTTTATAGCCCCATTCTCTCTTTTGTCAATGTCATTCACCTGTTATGTATGAAAGCAGCATTTGAAAGTGTAGAAATGCAAATTCTGAGATCACTGCTGTTGACACAGGGATGTTGGCAGGTGAATCTGGAACTGCTGTTAACTGCACCTGCCCTGGGATCTTTTACCATGAATATTGCTGGTGGAAAACATCACTTCACTACATATATAAAGTGCCAATTTCAGTAGATGTGTGAGTGAGTCAGGTGTGATCCCAGATGACCCCTGATCAACACCAAAGAACAAACACATGTGACCCTCTCAAAAATGTTGGATACCCCAGGAGCCAGGAGCCTCTCTTGAGGTACCCAAGCTATCAGTGTCTCTGGTCCTTGCAGTGTCATGGAGTGGTGATACCTTGTCTTTGCCTGTATCTCCCTGAAAAATAAATATTCGTAGATAGCTGTAGGAATTTCAGGAGGCACACATTTATCCATTGCAAGTTGCAACAGATAAAATTCCAGTTGGGGGTAACAGGAAAAAATATTCCCAGGGAGGATGGTGAAGCACAGAACAGGTTGCTCAAAGAGGCTGTGACATATCCATGCTTGGAAATTTTTAAAATCTAGTGGGATGAGACTTGGAGCAATCTGATCTGACTTTGAAGTTAGTCCAGCTTGGAGTTAGGGGTTAAAATAGATGACCTCCAAGAGTCACTTTCAACCTCAATTATTAGGTAATTTTATCTGCCTTTCTGTGGACCACTGTGGAATGTGGTCTCTGGACGTGGGACAGGGGTTGTATGTGGGATGTGTTTAGCGATTTTGTGAGCTAGGAATACTGTGTTTACCACTCTTATTAGCTGTGGTTTTAGTTCACAAGATTTAAAGTAGTATGTAATTGTATTGGATTTTGTGGAATACTCAGGACCAGGATAACCCTCTCTCCAAAGACTCTTGGAACTATTAACAAAAACCAGAGCTTTATTAGATCTGTGCAAAGTAGGTAAATTTTGCCAGTTTGCAGAAGAGTACATGGAGATACAGGATTGGAACTACATATGCTGCAATCAGCAGAAAGATGGATGTAGAACCTAGGCAGCCCTGCTTCATGTTCTACTGTGGGCATCATGAAAGCTTGATGTAGTTTTTTAATATGGTTTGTGGAATCCTTTTGGGGGAGAAAAACCCCAAAAACAAAACCAATGAACAATGCCCATAGTTGTCAAACAATTAATTTTAACAGGAGTGTCTTTCTGGTGTATATTACAAAATGCCAAATCAATTTGTGATGGGAAAGGGATGGGACCACAGGTGGTGTAAGAGGAAAACCCATCTATGGAGAGGTCAAACAGAGTTCATAGCTGTGTTTACTGTGCTGCTTTTATTTTTAATAAAGTTTGGTGCTAATGTGTCTTCTTCAGAAATAAAAACAAATTTTCAGTAAGGGCGAGGATCACTCATAGTCTCACCTGATATGAAGAGTATGTAAGCAAGGAAGGAGAATTTTACAGAAAATGGAAATCTGGAAACAACTATATCTCATATTTAATGCTCTGAAACTTGCCTTAGAGAACCATTATTGTTTTAAGCCAGCTGCAGTATTAATTAATGTAAGTGCAGGCTTAAGCACGATGTTGCTTGCAGTGTCTTTTCATCTGGCACATGGACTGTACTGGGTAATGCCTGCTTTCCTGTGCTTAAGGAAGGGGGAAATAACTTTTTCTTCCTTCCTCTCATACAGATCCACATCCAGAGAACCGAAGGGTGTGACCACATGACCTGTTCACAGTGTAACACTAATTTCTGTTATCGTTGTGGGGAGAGATACCGCCAACTCCGCTTCTTCGGCGATCACACGTCAAACCTCAGTATCTTTGGATGCAAATACCGCTACCTCCCTGAGAGACCACATTTAAGGAGATTAGTGCGAGGCTCTGTTTGTGGTGAGTGGATAAAGGTTCCTTGTGGAGAGTTGCACAGTGAAGTGATTGGGAGGATAATATTTAAATTAAAATGTCGTTTAAAGTTTTGGATGGGCAATTTGTTTTTCAGTTATGTAAAGTGGGGTTATCAAATATATTTAAATATATCACATTTACACTCCCTTTTTAGATAGACTTGTATGAGTAGGTATTTTGTCCTCTGATAGCTTTTGTTTCCTAACCTATTTTAGTAATATATAAGCAAACGGAAAAAATGCTGTCAATATGCATGTAGTTGGCTGTCTTTATTATTCTAAAAGGATACAGGAGAAATGGATAAGAGCAGGAATCTCTTTTTAACCTCTCCGTTAAGGATCTGCTTGCATAAAGCGCTGTTTAGATTTGAATCTGATCTGGGTTATTTTTTAACTGTTAGCTTAAATTCAGATAATATCCAGCTTAAAACAAAATAATATACATTAATATATACATTAATTTCCCTCAGAAATATGATGCCAAAATACAACTGTACAAAGTGGTTGTATTAACTGTCAAAAACCGGGGACCTAATAAGGAAAATAGAACTTTTTATACTTTGAATTAAGTCATGGAAATTGGAGATGCCTTGGAATTCACCTAGGATTAGGAAATGCTTTGAGCTTATCAATTAGTGATGTTGATTGCAGAGGTAAAGGTAAGACTGTACATGGAAATAGAAGTCAGCAGACCTGAGGTGAAAATATTAGTCCTGAGCCAAACACATTCCAGTAAGAACACTGGGTGATTTTTAGCACACAAACATAGACCTGGTAATAAAAATGCCAATCTTGCTGCTTGGAAGTTGTGGAACTGTACAAGCCTGGGTTTTGGTTCTGTTCTGAAAGCCAGCAGAAGAAAGAAGAAATTGTAGCAGAGAGATAGGGCATTAGAAGCAAAGTCTCTAAATTTTAGTAATATATAGTAAGAAATAAAGGTTCAATTTCCTGTAGTGAAATTCCTCTACTTGCTAACTAAGTAGTGGAAATTAAGAGAATCTTATCTTGGCTATCAGTGGGAGATTGGTGTGGTCTAGATATGTGGGTGTTTTCTATGACTTCTTTATTACTATGGAGAAGAAATACTTAAATCGATGTGATTTTGTAGCCATGTATAGTAAAGGGATTTTTTGGTTTGTTTTTAAAATCTGGATGGGTAGGGTGTATAGAAAGCAAAGAATGCTTCATGGCAGGCTGGCATGCTGTCGTGGTTTCTGTTGAGAAGCAAGGGTTTGTGCATACCATCACAAACTGTTTTGCAATAGAAATAAGGGAAAAACATTTATGGCAGCATAAATTTAAATACACTTTTTTTCACAAACCAGTTGTTATGTAAATGTGATAGTAATCACAGGGAGTAGAAAACCTGAGAGCAGAAGTGATCTCTAAATTTGATGATATTTCTTCCCCTTCTTTAGCCAACATGTTTTTTAGAGAAACTTTGTCCTGTGACCAGTACAGTAAAGTGAAATTGCTTTTATTCTCCAGTCCCAGCAGACTTAGAGATTTCATTCTCATAGTAAGTATTTGGCTAAATTGTTGAAGGCAGAATGTTTATTTATAACTGGAGTCAGTGATGAATTGTACTGAAAGGAAAAACATATTCAGCTGTCTTAAATGTACTTAAGATGTCACTGGAGTACCACCTGAATTCAGCTGGATGAACTATATTCAAATTCAGCTGTTAGGTACTTCATGGATCTGTAACAGGACACGACATCCAATGAAGCTGTTAAAGCAAATTAATTTTTTTGCATGATAAGCAGCATTTCAAATGGGAAAAGCAGCATGTTTTCAGATCTGACTGACTCCTGTCCCAAACAGGGCACAAGGTTCACAGCTTTGAGCCCTGCAGAAGGAAACATGCATTTCTGTGATCCAACCTTCATTAGCAACTTCATCATTTAAGTCAGTCTGATTTGTAAGAAGTAATCTCTACACACTTGATAGGACTCTTAAAAACAAATACAAAGTTTTATTGGAACTTAAATGTAAATAGATATGGCTACTTCGATTTGTAAGTAGGCTCTTCTAGTGTCTCTGCTGCTTAAACAATAATGATATTTTGACTTAAAAGATAAAACTTATTATTTCCCATATGCTAGTGATTTAGTTTTCTAAAACTAGTTTATTAATATTTTATAAGGCAAAGAATTCTTGAAGTATTGATGGGTGTTTGTGTATATTACCCTAAAACCCTCAACCAAACCCAAAGTTATGCAAGGGAAAAATATTCCCTCAGTTTTCCTGAAGTACTTCATCCTTTTGCAGAAAAACATGATCCTCTGTATCACAAGTAAGGCAACCCCTCTGAGACACCTGTAAATACAGTTATTACATTACCACAAATATCTAAGTCTTCATGCTGAGTGACCCAGTAGAGAAATTTTTTACCATTAATTTGAGTGTGACTGTAAAAAAGGTTCCCTTTTGAAGCTTGTTCTGTTTACAACCATTTCTTCTTAAGTTATCCCTAGCTTTGGATAATACCAAACTGGGTCATAACCTGCTGCTGAGTTCATTGCATGGGCTAATGACCCAAGATTTTATTCAGCTCTGAGACAGGTTTTACATTTGCTCTCTCCGCTAGCAGTCTTGGAGCTAACAGACAAAGGGCAGTGGGTCTTTGGGCAGTTCAGTGCCTGCAATAAACATCCTTAGTCTCAGTGTCATTTCTTGGTGTGTCATGATTCCATCACGTTACATTCATCCTTCTGTCTACACTTGAATTATTTAGTTGACAACTTCTGTGCGTATAGAACGCAGTGCAGTAAAGTTCCAAGAAGGTCTACCATTAGGATGCCTAGCAACTAGAGTAATACATATAATATTTGCCAATTTTTTCTTCTAGGAATTAATGTTTCCCACACACAACACTCCTATGAAATTTAAAAGCTATCAAAACAGCATGAAAAGGACCAGTTCATTTAACCGCTGTAAATATTTCTGAAATATCTCATTTTTCCTTCAGACTGCTCAAATTAGTGTCTCAGGTTATGGAGAGGTTTACATCACTATTGAATGAAGTAATCCATTTACTGAAATCTGATACGAGTGACTTGAGAGAGGGAATGGCAGGGAAGAGAAGTAACAAACTCACTTTTTCTCCCATTCTAGAGGTGATCTTTCCAACACACGCCTAACGTAGAGACTTGCCAAATTTCAAGTCCCTGATCAGAGTGCTGGTATATCAGTAAAAATGCCTTCCCTTCTGTGTTTTCAAACAGCTCAGACAAATGATATCTTAGATCCAACTGCTCAGCCAACTGAGACAGGGAGATTCTTCCACTTGAAGTGTGCAATTCAAGAAAGATAACTTGGTTTCAAGTTCAGTTTCAAATTCACAGTTTCAGAAGGACCCCTGCCTTTACTCCATGATCGTGAACTCCTTAGAAGTAAAGAATATGAGCATGCTTTATTTGTTCTTGGTGTTATGCTCTAGCCGGTATGCTGCACAACATTGCTGCCTTACTCATGTAAGTGCCAAAACATATCCTTACAAATGTTGATCCAAAATAGCCTTAACTGTAGTTTGATTTAGACTAAATCACAGCTGTACACGAGCACTTCACTGTAACCTTTTAAAGCGAGCAGAAGCATATTTAGAGGTGATGCTCTCATCACCTTGAGCTAACCTAAACTTTCCAAGATGCTAGTTTGCTTGGCATCTTTCCAGGGTGGTTGCTGTGCAGTTGGATTCCAGAGAAGCCAAATGATAGTAGCTTTATAGCTATCACATTCCTGTCAATGCTTGAGAGATTTCAGAATGGAAACAGAAGTAAATACAAGCTGTTAATGGACAAAATGAGCTGTACTCAAAGAGTTGTGGTGGGTGAAGAGTACAGAAAGAAATGTGTGCGGGGAGCACACATTGTGTGAGTGGTGATAGATCCTAGCTGGATTTGTAGGATGAAATTGCAAATAGGAATCCTATTTGTAAAGGTGAAGTAATTTAAAAATGAACTGCTTTTGGGAGTCTGATATTGAAAGGTTTATGGATGGTTGGAAAGGGAAAAATAAAAATGCCTTCTTTGAATTGCTTAATGAATTTTACATTTCAGCTGGAAAACTACTCATTACGCCCCTAATACTGGTTCTGGGACTGGCACTGGGAGCTGTAGCTGTTGTAATAGGTAAGAGCTACATATGTGAATGAAGATAATCCTGATTATGCAGTGACTTTGTCTGTATGACATATAAGTATTTTCATCTCAAAGAGATGGACACAAAGTACACATTTCACAGATACTGTTTTGGTATCAAGCACATGACTCTTTTTTCCTAAAAAACTTGTCTCTAGGTTTTGATGGTGTTTTTTTTTTTTACTTCCATTTTATGCCTATTAACTTTATTTTTGTTTCTATATTTGGTTTTCTGAACCAAAATCTTTATCTAGTATAGTTTAACTAGTAAAAAGGCCTGAGTAATTTAGACATAATCGTGGGGGCTGGCTGTCTTGGACCAGTCACCCCATCGAATCACAATTTTATGATCTTGGCCATGTGCATGACAAGATTTCTGGGGCACTAGGCATAGTCCCAAGAGCTCACCAGCTTGGAAATGCAGCGGCAACAAAGCAGCAAATTGGGATGAGTCAGTCTCAAAATATAATTCAGTGCATGGGCTGCCAAATTGGATTCCGTCACAAAAACTGATACTGTTAACTCATTTGATACAGTATCAAAGCTCTGTTAATGTGGTTGTATTAATGTGGAGGTAGTTATTTTAGCAAATCTGCTCTTTGCCTGGCTTAGCTGAGTTCTCCCACAGAAAGGAAATTAACCATTAACAATCAAGGTATAATTTTGTTCATGCAAGTGCACATCTAGTCTTTATGTTGGCAGTAATATGTCATTTGGGTATCATGCTGTGTCACAGCTCTACACCTTACTACTTATTCCATTGAAAATCTACAGTGCATGCCCTGAGGCATGTTGGGATGTGGCATCTTTATTAAATAATAGTAAAGCCAAAATATACCAGGAGGGTTACATTAATAAGGTTTTAAATAACCAATCAACCTTTAACCAAAATAGTGTTACAGCTTTTCTAGACTACATCAGGCCAAATAAGGAATATTGCTATTAATTTCTATATTTAGACTGCCTTCACTGGAAACACATATATATAGAGAGAGAGGGATCTATCTTAAATATTTAATCTATTGAATAGCATTTTTATTCTAAAAATGTAGACAACAAAAACTTCTTAATGCCAATAAAGCTTATTTTGCTCTGCAATCTGATGTAGTCTACGGTCTATAATCCACTGTTTTGCTTATAGTAAAAATTAATAGGGTTTTGCAGTAATGTAATAATAGTAATTGCAATAATCAGCATGCTATTGAAGTCTCATCCTAGGTATGGCTGGATAAGATACAATCAAGAGCAGCAATATGAGCAGTTCCAAAAACGTGGATTATTTATAGGAAATATATTATAGGAAAGTTTCAGGTTTTGAGATAATTAGTGCAGCAGTTTTTTGCCAACACCACTATTAAAGAAATCTCAGTATCATAGCTAAAAACCTTTGTGCACCATTTACAAGGCTATTGAGCAAAGCAAGAACCTTGGTAATTGTGGGAGTGTTTTGTTCTATGTTGTTACTGTAGTGGTGTCTGAAAAAGAAGTCTTTGGCTGTTTCAGTCAGCTGATGCCAAGAGAAAGGGGGAGACCTTCTCATTTGTGTTTGAGAGTACCTCTAATGACAAACTATTTTTCACCTAATTAAATGTGATTTATTTATTTTTCTTTTTGCAACTTTCTTTCTCTAAAAAGACTTTTAAGAATAAATAGTACCCTGCCCAGGCAAGGATAAACATTTGGTATTACTTCACAATAGATGAGGATGTTTGTAAAAATCAATAACATTTATAAAACCGTAAAGCTATAGCATACTGTCTTTACTGCATGTGAAACTAATTGAAAACTAGTTTAGTTACATCAGACTTGAATTTAGATCTAAGGATTTCCAGAGTGCTTTTAAAAGTTTTGTTTGTATCTTTTACCAAACAGCATGGTTCAGAAATCAGTATGTTAGAGATGGGTGTAGGATTAGCAGGAATTTGTTGTAAAGGAAAGAAGTGTAGCTCAACTCATTATTAAAGAGACTCTTGCAGGCTTATACTTTTTCTGCTTATCCAAATGCCTTGTCTAAATTCTCTTGGGATGTGGAGAGCTCCACCCTAACACCTATATTGAAAGAACACAATACACTCACAAGGGATTGCATATAATTATAGTTTTCTTTGTATTTTCTTCTTTTGGCAGGTTTATTTGTGTTTCCTATCTATTGCCTTTGTAAAAAGCAGAGGAAAAGGTCACGGACAGGTATGCCCTGGTGAGGATGGACCTTACTCACCTGAACGAGCTGGTCCTGCAAGGGCTATACGTGCTTTGTGCAACGGAGCAATACAGTGCTGGTAACAGCATCAAAGCCACCGCCCTGGAAGAAGAATGGGGGTTCTCCTGCCATCTTCCCTCAGCTGAAAACACTACTGCAGACCAGAAAGCCTCTTTGCTCTGATGCACTCTCAGCAAGATGGGCCCCCTGAGTGCTGCTTTTTAAATGGTTTTGGTTGTGTTTTGTTTTTTTTTTTAATTATTACTTTGGAGGGGGTTTTTTGAGTCTAAGTTTCTGAACTAGACAATCAAAGTCTGTATTGTAGCCACAACTCTACTACCGATCTGGCCTGTGAAGAAAGCATTTAACTGCTAACATGTGCTCCATTTAACTTCAGTGTCGGCCTTTAAGGGGGAAATGCTTAGAAGTGTTTGGACTCTTACTGTATACTGAACATACTACTTTTGGTATTAAAAACTACTTCTGTAAATAACTTCCATCACACAGCATTCTGTTCAGCATACCGAAATCCCGTCGCATGCCAGAACACGACAGCTGGTTATCTTCTGAGTCCTCCTGCTAGTAGGCAAGAGTGTAGATTGCTACTGCCAAACTGCAGTGCCTCAGAGGGAAATATCCTTAGTATTGAAGCTCTATGATACTGAAGAATATGATGATTGGTTTCACTTCAGTAATTTATTTATGACAGTCTATTAATATTAATGGCGGGGATGTGACAAGACTTGTTACAAGAGTACTTCGTTTTTAAATTGACACAGTACAGAAAAAATTTGAAGGATTTAGATAACAAGAAGTGTCAGTGGCCTACTCTGTCCCAAGATATCCCTGAAGTGTGTTTGCAGGGAAGATGGGAACCTGCTCTTCTATTCTGACTTAGAATATGATACACATGCTACACACTAGTTGTGTGAAGATAGACTTGATGAAATTTTATAACCTAAATAGCACATTTTGTTTGTTTGTTTAAGTAGACTACTACGCAAGTCTTAGAGTATCCACTGATGTCTCATGAGGAAAATCTGTGAATCTGGGGTAAGGGGAGGGGTCATGAATTCTTAGGAGACCATTCTTAATTTCTGTTTCCAGTGTTTCTCTTCCTGGTGCATTACAGTTCTGAAGAGAATAGCTATCCTTGCTCTTTTTTTCATAACTTCAGAGTTCCACTGTTTGCTACCAACCCTCTTTCTCAGTGCATCACCCCAAAAGTAATCTAATTTAGCATTAGGAATCAGCTACTGAGAATTTTTACACTTTTTATTCCAAATTTATCATACAAATGTAACTTTGAAGAAAAAATATAATAAAATAAATTTGTTTAGGCAGAACACGGAAACAAAGAAAGGAACTGATCAAGAAAAATACCTACTTTATACTCTAAAAATACAAGCTGATCTTAAAGAAAAGGAGATTGGATTTGTACTGTGAAGGTACTTTTTTCCAGTGTGTGTGTTTGAAGATACACGTGTGTGTGTATATATATATGTTTGTATATATATGGGGAACGGGGGAAGCAGGAGAATGGGAAATGTCTTGAAGAGCCTGCAGACTTCAAAAATTAAGGCTTGCAAATAGCATATCAGGTAGGAGAATGTACTTTGCACCCCTTTCTTTGTTAAATCTGAATCCAGTTGTAATTTTTAAGTAAATGGTATTCTGCCCCACCAAGATACTCACTTTGACTTCAAAGCCTCAGTGGAAGAAGCTGATGACTTTTGTTTACCCGGAAACACAAATATCAGCTTTCTATAGTTGGCTAGTATGCTTGTTTTCTGTTAGCTTCTCATTTTGTTTTCTTGGGGTTTTTTGGTCTATTTTTTTTTCCTTGTTGAAACAGTGTGTATAAGCACATCATAGTAGTCAACAACTATTTAATAATTTCCATTTGAATTTAAGGATATGTTGACCCTGTTGTCCTAGCAGTAGAAATAGTATCTTTCTAAGATTTACAGATTAAGCAGGGAAGCAATGATATTTAGAAATAAAATTCAAAACCTGTTGTCATTGCAAATCCACCTATTAATTAGATTTCTTCTTCTGAGATGCATCAGTTTTCTATTTGTTTTCTGCCTGAGGTTGGAAGCTGCCTTAAAATTGGTCTTGGTTTTGCGTGTGTTTTCTGAGGCTGTACATATCAGTTGTCTTTGGCTTACTCAGGGATTTTTATTCCTCTCTTTAAATGTCAAATAATGAAGATATTTTTGTATTATTTAGAAAAACCTTCAGACCTCAGAGAGCGAGATAGATATATAGATAGATTTGGGTTTGCAATGCAGTCTGTAACATGGTGTCAAACTATTCCACTTGAGAATATTTTAATACTTGAGATTATCTGCAATTAACTATACAGTGGATTAATTCTCTTGCTTTTCCTGGTTCTGTATAAATATGTGAGATACACTTTTTGTAGCTGTTTTCACTCTACCATGTTTGCCATTTTCAGTTTCTGACAGGAGTTCAGTAAGATCTGAAATTAAGATACTAGAATAAAGAGCATAAAAGGGAAGATAATAGTTCTGCACTTATTTATATTCAGAAAGCGTGTCCTTGTGGATGGAGAAAAGAAACACACAACTCAGCTCCTACATTATCATTTCATCTAGGCCATTTTGATTTTATCAGAACAGATTAAATCAAGGGGAAATGGTTCTTCATTTTCTATACAGAGCAAAAAGAGGCATCTTTGACCTTGTAAAGATGAGCAAGTCTGGTCTTTTTCTGTAGGGAAAAAAAGGGAATGACAATAATTTTTCCTTTACTGTAGAACAGGAAAAAGTTTCAAGAGTCAGACAGAGTAGAGATATGAAAGTCTCTTTCCATCTGTATAAAAATATCCCCACTTGAAAAGTAAAGAAATACATTTTTATCAATATATTGTAACATAACCAACCGAAATATGAGAAGTAGCTCAGTACAAGGTTCATGCAATAAAACATTAGCTTTTAAACAACTCACCACAGAAAATCTTACATACATCAAAACCATGATATTTGTTTTAAAAGCATTAATTTATGAGTTTGAAAGAAATTTAGTGAACTTTGTAAGGAAATTCAAGAATGTTTTTATCATGTAAACGTCTTTTGGTTTTGGTGACTACTCTAAAGAAGCTACCAGGCTGTTCTACTCCATCTTTAGTAGCAACAATCTTGTCAGGCAGCTGAATTAACCTACTAATGCAGATTTCACACTACTGTATGCTGATCATTGCTGGTCATTGTGTTTGCTTTCACCACATTTATTATTTAACATTACTTATCATTGTGCAAAGTTGTTGCTCACCAGTACCTGTATTCAGACTAGGAAATAATTAAATCCATTCTACACTAGCCTTCTCTTTCAAGTTTGCCTGAGAATGGATTTGCCTATGCACCACGTCCTGCTTACAGACATGCAGTCAGAGCTAGGGCCTTCCCCATGGTGCCATGCAGTGTGTGCCCAGTCCTGCTTCTGCTGGGAGGGCTGGCTGGACATGCCATTCTGCAGGGGCTGCTCTCCCTTTCTCTGCTTTCTCCACTATGCCTAATTTAGTTATATATCAGTAATGGGCTTGAGCTTCAGGGCTACTCAGCCATGTCATTGGCTGGATGATTGACTACTGTAGCATAGGTATGCTTGCAGAGCTTATCCAGCAGCTTGTGACTGGAAAATAATTGCTCTTTTCCCTACATCACAGTCTATTAGCCAGTGAGAATAACGGAGAGGCAGAAGCGCAATTCTGAGTAGCCTCGTGCTGAGCTGATCTATCAGTTTTAGTTCTGTACAAAAAAGTTGGTTAGTCTTCAGTTCTCACCACCTCTGTAATAAGCAGAGTATTCATATCTTTCCAATGTCATTAAAAAATACAGTACACTTTGAGTGATCTGTTATCTTCCTTTGGGGAAGTGCAAATGTGTAAGTAAGGGAAGGTTTTGTTTGGTTTTTGATGTTACTAGTTCTGACTTCATAACTCTTCCTTGTATGTTAGGGGTTTTATAATTTACACCAATTTGTTCATTGTAAAAGTTTTATCAACATGAAGTTTATTAAAAATATTGATTTGCAGGGACTATTGCCAGTTTAACTAGAAAGCATTTTGGATCACCATCAGGTATTCTTTTTAGCCAAGGGGCTTTCTGCTCTTCCAAAGACTTTCACAGCTTGTGTGATATGTTAAATGGTGTGTAGGTGGGACAGTAATTTTCTCAGAGGATACAAATTCTTCAGTGATAGAATAGTTTCTTTTGCCAGTTAGGTCTGAGGAACTGTTTGATATTCAGTGGCCAAAGAGTTTGTCCTGCCGACTCTTGAGGGGTTTGGGTTTTTTTAATTTATTTGAGGTGTTTTGTTTCTTGAGCAAACTTTGCATCATTCATAATTTTGGGTATGCTGATCCTGTAGTTTCAAGTTGTGGATAAGAAACATGGATTACTGTTACTTTTATAATCTATATTGAATCTATGATTCTGTTGATGGAAAGAATCCTACCTGAGTAAACTCTTTAAGAGATAATTTCTTAGCTTCTTTTAATTTTGCAGCTTTGTAGTTGCAGTGAATCCGCTTCATTCCTGACATCAGTCATAGCCCCATTAAACCAGAGAAACCCATTTTTATGGCAGTGTAAGATTTGGTCACAGATACTTTGTTGGCATGTTGATAGCCATTGTGCAGGAACTTGAAAATCTGTTTCGCTTCCAAAGTGCAAACTATTATGGAGCCACTCCTCTCATTTGCCAAATGATGCCAATGTGTTTAGTAAGTGCAGGAGAAGGAAGGAGTAGGGAAGAATTTCCAGATAACATTCTTATATAGAGCAAATTGCCAGGAGAAGGGATACTAGCTTTTAATATAATAAACAGACCTTCTTAAAGCATTGAGTCATTAATAAAATTAGAAACAACATCCACAGACAGTGTTAAATAACATCTTCAAATTCTGCTTTCTTCAGTGCAACAAATAATAGCACAACATAAGAATTGGAATTGTGAGCTGTTTAGTATTTTGGGGACTTAACACATAAACTTGAGGGCACACAACATTTAAAAAGTTATGATGCTGATCTCTTTGGTGGTTTGTCCTGCTATTGTTACATTAAAAATGGGCTGAGCCTTGATTCAGTTGAAAGACAAGCAGTGTTTTCACTTATGTTACAGTTTGAGCAGTACTTAATGCCCCCAAGCTTTTTTCTTAATAAAACTAACAAATGCAGCTGCTTGCAGACTGTAACTTCCTGGCTGATTCTTCATTATCTTTCTGTGGATAAGATTTCAGGATCTATATGAGGCCAGTAAGGAACAGAGTATTCATATAAGGCAACTAATCACCGATGTTTCTCTTGGCCTGATAGGGAAATACCATAAGGCAGGGAAAAGAAAACTGATCTTAAAGTGCATGCTCTGACTTCAAACATAAAAATGTGTAATAAGCTTTAATTACTCCATAGTAAAAAATAAATACATACATTTCTAAGCATAATTCCGGCTGTTTATTTCTAAATATATCTGGTTTAAAAAAATAGAGTAGTTATAATAGTGATTAGTTTTGTAAAATAAACATACTGTACAAAAGGAAAACTTTTTTGGAGCTTATTTGGCTTACCAAAACTTGAAAAATTGATCCATCCAAAACACTTCAGATTAAATTCAGAAGAGAAACATTGTGTAAAAATATTTGTTTAGCATAAACATGAATTTTGCACATACCTTCTTAAACAAAATTTTATGCCAACCACAGTCCAGTGTTCACCTTGTTGGAAATTTGTCAGGCTGAAAACAGTATTTTTAAAATTTTAACTTACTGTCACTGAGCACATTACTAATATAATGCCACATTTACCTCATTTTTTGAAGGAAATCTATTTACAGAATCCAGAGAAGCTGTTCCGATATTTTAAACCTGTCCTGTAAAACTGCTGATGCAGTCAAGAAACATTTCCATGCCTTATGCAAGCTCTGGATGAGCAGATGAATTCAGTTCTTTAGTTATAGACTGTGCTTTTGCATAAGAAAAGCACTCTTAAAGAGTTCTTCATATCAATTTACATTCTGCTACTTTGTGTCCTGAAATTGCAAGGACAGGGGTAGATTTACATTTCACTTGGTTTACCATCTCATAATAGAGTGTTTACCATGTTTCCATTTGTTATACACATTATTTGTAATGCTGTCCTTTTCCTTCCAAATTTCATAATTTGAAACTGTCTTGAAAATGGCTTCAGATCAGATTGGACATGGAAAATGTGATCTCATAAGAAGTTGTTTCATTAATACTTTGCTGAGCTATACCAGCAAAAGATTAGTTTTGTTGTATTTAAATTACTTAAATGCAAAATGCTGAAATCTTTTTCTTCAGGGCTTTTAATTTTGCAATTTTTGTAAATGTAATTAAACAGCACAATCATCTTTGCTACATAGCTAACCATCTGAGTATAAAATAGCATTTTAAGGTATTCATTATTTTCATTGTGGTAGAGATGAAAATAATAATATGGCCTGAGAAGAAGAAAAAAGTATCTCTGAGCAGCTTGTCCAATCTGAACTTTCTCTTAGTTCCATGACAATTCAATAAGAAATCTTTCCTTGATCTCATCTCTTTTATGTATTTTAAGATGAAGAATTCCCTTTTAAAATAGTTCTAATTTGAATGGCAGGTGGTGAGGGTAGTGAGATAATAAATCACATCCTTTATTGTGTACAGGCTCCTGGCATAACTAGGGTGCTAGCCGAAACACTGTGGATTCACTAAGAAAGCGATTTTTAATTCTCTGTTTGGGCTTCATACAAGCTGTATACATCAGTGAGTGGAACTTTTTGTAGTATATTTATTGGATGGCTAAGAAGTTATAAAAACTGGAGGTAGGTAATGCCCATGACATCAACACTTGAATTACAGTATTTAGTGTGTTTTGTATAATGAGGAATTTTAAATGTGTAAGTGCCTTATTGCTTGAAACAACTGAAAGGTGTTAGTTCCCCTTAATAGAGCAATACAGGAATTCCTGTTCTGTGGACTCCTACAGTTACATTAAGCCAAAGTAACCAATACTGGTTTGCTCGGAAAATTGAATAATGTTATGCCAGTGAAGAAGTTATTATAAAAGTAATCTGCCATGCTTATTTTAATTATGATTATCTCATTTCTGAGGGTTTTTTAACTTGCTGTTTGCTCCCCTCCCCTCACCAACTCCCACCTTCCTTCAGACTTCTGCAAAAATGCATCTTACTTTGTTGTTAGAGTGGTGTTAGTTTGGCTCTTCCAGCATAACAAAGCCATGAGTTTTCAACCACTGAAAGAAATGCAACTTTTTGGAGAAGGGAGTTCAGCTGAAGTCTGGTTAGACCACAACCTGTCATAGGTGTACCTTCTGACTCCAGGGCTCAAACAGTCCCTGTTCTCACCAATTTGTGAAGGTGCAGGCACTGAGGAGTGTGGTGTAGCTAGATTGGGACTTTGAGCAGGTTAGCAGCATTTCAGTGTTATCCAACTTGAACTAATATATACCCTTAGTATAAGTTGCTAACTCCTCTGTTGTGGGTATCTTGATGGACTAATTCATCAATCAAGCTTGATGGCACAGATCTGGCATCTCTGCCCAGACCCTTCATTGCAGGGTGGGAGGTATGGTCTGAAGAAGTATTATTCATTTTGCCATCTTCTGAGAGCTTCAAAATGAATAATGAAGGGTTTATTTCTTCTTACTTCCATTCCCAAAAGACTGTGGAATTTTACCTTCTGTGGTCTAGATTTTCTAAAGGACCTGTTTTTTCTTACTAACATCAACTCCCCTTTTGTCCATCTATTACTGGAAATCAGGTGTCAAGATTAAGCTACTTTTCTAAAATTATCTTGAATTACATCAAATTGTGGTAGAAATTATCTTTTAAAAAATAATGAAGTATAAAAGGTAATTTTCAGAAGGAAATGGAGTTAATGGGGGTTAAGAAGAAAAATGATACTTAGAAGATCTATTTATTATAGATTCATGATCATAAAATACTTTTACTACGTTCAATTTCCTCCACTGAGAATTTGTTAAGGCAAGAAGGAAAAGAGGGAGAAATGAAGATAAGAAGAGTATCCCCTTGAACCTTTTCTTCTGAAATTGTTGTTTTTCAGAACTGTAGGAGAGGTTTTTTCCACCCTGGAGTTCTTAATTGGTAATACAGCTGTCACAGTGTTACTGTTAAACACTACTGTGAGTGTTTAATCCGGATTCAGCTGGCATATCTGAAGGTTTTGGTGATAGGGAGTTTAATTTAGAACCATACTGCAGTAAAATTTTAAGTGAATTACCACTCTTAGGAATATCTTAATGACATCTATTTCAGCATTCTCAGATTTTTAGGCATTAACTAGGTCCTTCTGTAACCCATTGAACAGAAGACACCATGTATCAAAATACTTCTTTAATCTTATAAGTTGCTGTTTATTTGTACAAGCTATTTCCTTAAATGAAAATTTTCTCTCTTAGAACCAGCAGACACACAACCAAAATGCTGATAAGGTTTTTCCATTATCTTTGTCTTACATTTAGCTGATAAGTCTATTTTCTGCTGCATGGTATTTCAACAATGGTCTTCATGCTGTAATAACTTGTACTGGGTAGTCTTGGGCAATATTTTACAAATAATTCATCTTCAACTTGGTATTTTAAATGTATACCAGTAGTCACTGTTGCGCGTGCTGTCTGTGTGGCTGCTTTAGTTCATGTCAATGTTTTGTAAGGATTATTTCTTGCTACCCTCTTCAGAGTGCCTTTTCATTTAGCGGGTCTAGAAGGCGGTTCACTGAAGTCTTCTGTTGAATCTACCATAGTAATGTCTGATCTTTAAACTTGTCCTGATGAATGTATAACTAAAATCTTGTTCTTTTAAAAAGCTATAGTAGGCACAGGTGTATATGCACATGTACATGCATGGATACAAGGGAAGGTGTTCTGCCAATGTTCGTCCTGCCGGACAGGACCTTTTGAAAGTAAGTGAATTTTTAAACAGTTTTATTTTCAAAATGTTACCTCACTAGTATTCAGTGGTAGGTATGTCTCTGTACTGCTTCACTTTGCTAAATACAATCACAATCATGATAGCAGTTTCATTTAAAAGACTGCAATGAATCTGGTGTCCATATTGAGACTGAATTTCATACGACAAAACTTATGGTACTTTGTTTCCTTTAAGGCATTCCTTTGACTCACACTGACTCCCAAACCCCTGTTACCAACAGACTGAAAAAGTGCTTCCCCATGATGAAATGGAAGAATGTAAAGTAGCATTTGAATGCACTCCACCTGTCTCAAAAATCAGTATTCAGAAATGGGGTGGGGGAGTGGATTTGATGAACTGTGGGAAGACATACGTTGTAGAGGTCATTCACTTGCACACAAGGGGTTTTACAATGTCATCTAGTAACATCTACCTAATAAAGTTTTGAAAAAGAAAAATTAAGTTGCCTGAATGTTTAACTCTTTCTTTAAGCAATTCCATGCATGAAGGACAGCTGAACAGCTCCAAGGAACCTTACTTAAACCTGTAATACTTGTTATAATTCTTATATAATCTTTTTTAAAAAATTACACCAAATTATTTAAACTCCAGAATCTTTGTCTTTACAAACACTGTGTTTCAGTCACTTCAGTCTTTAACTGCTTTAACACTGAAAATGAAAGCAGAGGTTAAAAGCCAGTCTACTGTGATGAATATTTTAATGTAAAATACTCCCTGCCATATGGTGTCATCTCTGGCTACTGCTTTCAATTTTAAAAACATCTTAATTGAATACAGAATTTTACCTTCTCACAAGATCTTAACATGTTAGCTTTAAATAACCGAATACAAAATGAGGAGGTAATATGCTGGAGTCCAGTTTTCCCATTCCCTTGTTAGGACTACTTCCTAAAACTTCTTCACTTTCAAATACAGCTTGTAGAGAAAGCCATTTGGAGCTGTAAACTTGAAATATGTAGGCCATTAATGGAACTGAGTGCCTTTTTCTCTGGAAAGGAACTGTGTTCAGTTTCTACACTTTGTGAGCTGACAATATTGATGGAATGTTTTGTTTGATATGTTGGGGATTTTTAAGCACTATACCTAGTTAGGAAATTGCAGTTGCACATTCATGCATAGGCAGACAAGGTGTCACAGTTGCCTCCATCTGTGGGAAATAAAGCTGAAAAACAATTCACTGCAAGGAAATACACAGCAAAAATATTGAGGCCTGTGCTAGGTGCCTCTGGCAGAGGACAAGCCTTTCAGCCCTCTCCCCAACCCCCTCCAAAACAGTCAAGATTTGCAACCAAATGTCAAGGACATCATACCAGAGGTTCCTTATCTGCAGGAATTCCAGCATGCAGTGGAAGAATAGTCAGCAGGCCAAAGAAATTGATAGCCCTAGAACTGAAACTGAAGGCTAACTTCTCACTTGCAATCTCGAACTGTTTGACAAGAGACAGACAGAAAGCTTTGATTATAAACATCTCCACAGAGATTACATATGTGCATACTGTACATATTTAGATGCTTCCTCTCAGGTGATTGACATACTTTTGCAAGTTCTTGAAATAGTGATTATAGGAAATATAGGTATTTTCCCAAAATCATTAATGCATTTGTGCCTGCTCATAAGAAATTGCATTTGATCATTAATAACTAAATAAAAATATCAACAATTTTTTAATTAATATTTGAATTTCTTATGTGGTGTTTAGTTGTTTGGCTTCAGCAGCAAAATGAGAGACTGTGGCATGCATGAAATACTGGCTAATGAGAACCTAATTAGAATTAGCAGCCACGTAAAGCTATCATGCTTTGGAAAAGTTGATATGACTTCTAGGAAGGAGTCTTTTCTTACCAACGACAAAATTTATTGGCAGGTCAGCAAGTTCTAGAAGTCTTTGTTGTAATTCCTTACAACAGCCTCAAATGAAACTAAGTAGATGTAGGCTAAGAAGGAGGATCTCACAGGGACAGTATATAGTTAGAAGATGCAAAAAAAGTGGAGTAAATAGCTTTTGCCATGAAGGGGGGATGCCAGTTAAACTGTGCAGAAATCGGTGCTAGGACTTTACTCTTGGACGTATTTGCAAATGATGTGAAGAAAAAGGTAAGTTATGGGGTAATAAACATTACTGTTGATGAAGAGTTACCCGGAAGAACAAACATGAGAGCTAGTTACTGTGATCAATTAAATTGGTTTTGGACAACAGAAAATAGAGGAAAGTGGTTCATCATGGAACGATACGACTGATGCATAGTGGTTATGTTTATAACAAAGGTCTTTATTTGAGTGATACCAGAAAGACAAAAGAGTGGCAGAATGGGAGCTATAACAAAAAAAGGTGAATCATGATGAAATAATGAAAGACTAGTGGACTCTCCTGCTGAAGGATGTTGTAGGTGCTGGGGGCTGACATGGAAACTGCAGCAGTTACAGGAGAGATTGCTGGTGAATCACCAAAAATACAGAATACCCCATTTTCTCAGAAAGTCCTTGAGTCAAAACTGTTTGGAAGCCTGAACAGTAGCAGACAATGATATTTGTTTGCAGTATGGTGCATACTTTCCACAAATACCTGTTTTTGCTTACTGTCAGACAGGACAGAAAGGATATTGGGCTCCCTGATGTGTTGCTCTGTCTGAGTATTTCTAGGTCATTTTCTTTCAAGTCTTCTAATGAAGATCTCTAGGTGGGAAGAATGTCATAGTAGATCCTAGCAGTGATCTGTTGGGAACAGTGGGAATATGGCTTCTTCCATTCTACTTGGCCACAAAAAACACTGCCCTGGATGGAGAATTGTTAGAGAAGATACAGATTCGTGAAGTTATGCAAATCTGTCCCCTTTGTAGTGCGCTGTTCTCACTATCAACTAATTTTGTTCCACCTGATCTGAGCAATATTCTTGCCTCTACCTCATTTACACCAGGCTTTCTCTTGAAAGCTCTCAAGGTCACCTCAGCCTTTCTCAGGCTGTTTTCCTTCTCTTTAACATTTCCCCTACTGGTATACTCAACGTGAAGCTAGGCTTTGTTTTCATGACCCTGTAAGAGTGCTGGACACATCCAAGTCCATGTCCTGTGCTGGCCCAGACCTCGATTCCTTAAAAATTTGGATGTAAATAAAAAATACTACTACTCTAGAAACATTTCTTTCTAAGTCAGCTGCTTTTTTAGGTGCCCATGGCCCACTTTTGTCTGCCTTCTATTTCATCAATCCCATTTTAATTTGTAAATGATAGTTTCTATTTTGTTCCTTTTTATGCTAAAGAAATGTTGGACAGTCTCTCAAAACTCCTAGTAGATAAGAGAAAAAGTGCAGTAAATCAAAATAAAATTACAAAGCCAGTTAAGCCTGAAAAGTAGCATCGTGTGATTAAATGGGACTCTGCTATAGATTCCCCTGCTGCTAACTGTACACTTGTACATTCCTCATTTTGATTTTTATTTGCATTTTTTTTTGTTTAGCATGTATATGATGCATCTAAAGAATTAGTGTGCCTATTTTGGGCATTTGGTTTTGGGTTTTGGGGGTTTGGTTGGTTGCTTGAGGGTTTGTTGTTTTTTTTTTCCTGAGGAGGACACATGTTCATGAGAGCAGCGCAGTGTGGCAGCAGTCTCCCTCTACCCTGGCCCACTCTGGGCTTCTCACCACAGCTTTCCCTAGGCCTTCTTGATTTTAACTTTTTTATTTTCAAACAGTTTCTGTTTTAGTTTGACCATTTTTGTTATTTATTATTTTCTATTAATTGAAAAATACTTTCAAAAACATGGCTTCGTTTTAATTTCATCTGACTTTTATGAGGTGATGGATAAGTCAGAGCTAATAATAAACAGCTTAGTGACAAACCTTTGCCAAATCAAACAAACATTAATTCAGCAGAGCTTTCCAGTAACACCTTCAATGTTTCGAACCTTCGGAGTCTGCTGTTGCCTTTCTCAAACTCTGTTACAGCAAGCACTCTATGTCACCACTCACCTTATAATGCTATATGTAAAAAACGGGTTACTTAGATTACAGGCAACATGTAGCCTCCATTTAACTATCATTTATTTATTCATTACAATTTTGAGTTAGCTGTTCTGTGGCTTCGGACCTGAGAAATGAGCGTAGCAGTGTTATCTCTCCTGTAGCAGTAAAAGGAGAGAATGTAGAAAAAGGGTAGCTTTTCCTTTCCCACAAAGGAGCTTTCAAGGACTAAACATGGCTGTCACAATTGTACTTCATAAAAAACAACCTTCATGGGAACCCCTTGTCTGCCTGATTGGGGATAAATGGAGCAGCTGTCGCTGCTGAACCTATTCATTTATCTGACAGCCTGCCAGATGAGGAGTTCTCCAAAAAAGGTGGCTGAGTATGAGCTGCAGTCACTGCTTTGGTTGTGGCACTCTGTCCTGAGCTGCCATTTTCTCCAGCTATTTGAGGGGTAAGTGTGGGGTGTGTGCGTGGGAACTCCATCAGGTCCCCAGCACCCTGGGCTCAGTGTGCACAGGGCACTGGCTCCCCCTGAGCTGTTGGTGCAGCCCAGTGGTAAGCGTAGCTCTGCACATCCCAGTCTTGCTATTGGAAGAAGGCATCAGACCCACTCCTCTCAATATGCATAAAGGTAGCATATTACTAATTATTTTTTGAACTGTCATCTTTTCATAGCACTGTCAAGATAGGAAAAAAAGTGCATACTTCAGCATAAAATTTCTGTCTTCTATAAAGTCAACTAACAAATATTTCCTAAGACACAAAACTTAGAAAAATACTTTTACGTGATTTAGTTTATTGTGTATATGCATGATCATATTACTATGGTATGAAAGCTTTTGCTTGCTTTCTTTTAATATATATGCAATCTGTAACAATTTACGTTGTAGTAGTATGTCAAATTATAGATAGATAGTTACATATTTAATCATCTCAAATTCAACAAAGGCAAATGCAGGGTCCTGCATCTGGGGAGGAATAACCCTGGGCACCAATATAGGCTGGGGGCCAACCTGCTGGAAAGCAGCTCTGCGGAGAAGGACCTGAGGATCCTGGTGTACAACTTGTCCATGAGCCAGCAGTGTGCCCTTGGAGCCAAGAAAGCCAGTGGTATCCTGGACTGCATTAGGAAGAGCATTGCCAGCAGGTCGAGGGAGGGGATCCTACTCCTCTACTCAGCCCTGATGAGGCCACATCTGGAGTGCTGTGTCCTGCTCTGGGCTCCTCAGGACAAGAGAGACATGGATCTCTTGGAGCAGACCCAGCAGAGGGCAACAAAGATGATTAAGGAAGAGGAGCATCTCTTGTGAGGGAGCTGGGCCTGTTCAGCCTGGAGAAGAGATACCTGAGAGGGGACCTCATCAATGGATATAAGTATCTGAAGGCAGAATGTCAAGAGGAGGGAAACAGGCTCTTCTCAGTGGTGCCTAGCAACAGGACAAGAGGCAACAGGTAGAAACTGATTCACTGGAAGTTCCAC